CATCTCAGCGAGGACATCGAGACCTTCCTCAATCCTATAACACCATCTGCCCCCTAGATCTCCTTGCTCTTTACTTCCCAATCCTATCTCCTCCTGGGAGTGTCACCCGCTATCCTTAGAGGAAGGCGATAGTGAACACCTCAGAAAACGCGTTTTCCCGAAAGGGACTTAGCGATGCTATAAAGGAGAGGATATAGAGGAAGAATAAAGAATTTTATCGACTGAGATTTAGTTCACCGGTTGCACAGCTTAGTGAGGGAGAGTTGACACGGCCCGTAATAGCGCACTATCATTTACCGTGAATTAGCACGTTATCCGGTCGTGATTATCAGCTGTCCACCGTCGCACTCATTAGTGTTGACGATAACACAAGTTTGTCTTATCCGGCGGTCGGTAGATAGGACAGGTCAGGGGGGTTCAGCACCGCGAGACACGTCGGCGACTATGTAAACTAGTTCACGTGTGACTTACATCCGCCGTATGTGCCGTGTGATTTTTCATCAGCGTACTATTGTTTTTTTGTATTCGCACCTCATTGTACACCAGTCTTTATAATATTATTATAATTCAATATAAAGTTATTCGACCACTTAACGGTGTTACGTTTTTAATTTATTAAAAACACCTGTAATGTTGCAGAATTTATACAAGTTTTTTTATATTAATCTTATCAGTTAATAGTGTGTGCATTAGGTATTATGTATGTCCCCAATTATTAAATTAGTTATATACCAATCAACCGATCCAATGGTCAGTACCCGGTTTGTTGTGACAGTTGACCGCACACAGTGCATCCCTACACCTTTGTATTTTCCCTATGAACCAGTTCAAAGTTGGCACCCCCACCACCCGGCGACATCATGATCACCGGCCACTATTCAAATGCCGCAACAATGATTTTTTTTTTCCACCTATACTGCCGAGGCGACAAGTTGTCCGTTTATTTTTTTCTAAGAAAACCACGTTTTTGTATTTTTTTTGTCCTCCGTTTTTTTTTTATAAAATAAAACGTTGAGTCGACCTACCGTCTACTTTGGAGTCAACCAGGCTGTTTACTGTATTTTTTTGTCCTCCGTTTTTTTTATTAAAATAAACGTCGAGTCGACCTGCCGTCTACTTTTGGTGTCAACCAGGCTGTATTTTTTTGTCCTCCGTTTTTTTTTTAACAAAACGTCGAGATGGTGATGATGAGGATGATTGTGATGTGAGTCGCAACTATGGCCGGTGGTGGGCCACCACTCCGCAACTATCAACAACAAGTACAACATCAATAAAACCCCCTTTTACCCCCTTCTAATTTGTGTATCAAGCACCTCCTTTTTTTCTTTCTTCTTTTATATGAATATATTTATATCTAAACTAGTAATTATAAATTTTTTTAATTAAATAATTAAAAAAATGTTGTTATATTATACATGGCCTCTTTTTTCTCTCTATATTTTTCCTTCATTTTTATTAATATTTGTTTTTTTTTTGTTTTATCAAAACCTAGTAGCTCCGTCGACAAGTACTATCTTGTTTGGCGCGGCTACTAGGTCACTGTCCAGTGTTCCCCCTGGGCAGTGGGTAATTAGTAGGCCCTCTGTTTGGCTGAAACCTTACACACCTTTATACTGTGTCAAAGTTATTGTAATAAATAATCTTTATTTATAAACTTTCACAAAAAACACTATAAAAAAAAAAAAAAATGAATAAAATTATATTTTGCTCTGATTATTATTAACATATCAAAATCAGTAATAATTTGAAAACAATATTTTTTCTGTTTCTTATTATTTCTTTATATGTAAATAAATACTCATTTTTTCAAATTTAATAATCATATTAGAACTTAGAAGTGATTGAAAAAGTCTAATTGCAGATTTGAAAATAGCATAAAAGGTTAATTTTGAAAAGTATATTTTTGCTTCTGATGATAGTCCTTGTAGTCCAATGTATTTATTCATAACAAAAATTATTATTGAAAAGTATTGCATTTGCATTGTTATTTTTATAATTTCTCTGTAAAAATTATTATTTATTATTTATTATTGAATATCAATTTCATACTAAATTTAATTACTATAATTATTATTTATTAGCTTCGATGCGAAGCGGAGAAGGTATTAATTTTACTATGATGTGTGTTTTTTTTTTTTTTTTTTTTTTTTTTTTTTTTTTTTTTTATGTCTGTTGCAACTTTTTC